ACATGATATTGCCCCTTTAAACATTTTAACTTATTTATTTTATGCCCACAATTTTATTTATTGAATTGTCTATTTTGGTTATTGTTTATGTTTAAAAAAGTCAATGTTTTTGTGTTGATAAGCCTGAGTGGTCTGTTGACTGACCGTTGTATTTGTTCAAATAATTGTAATGTGCAATATAAAAAAATGTTTGTCCTAATCATGTCCTATGATTATCTGACTGGAGTTTTACTTTTTAACTTTAAGTGTATTTAATTTAGTTATAATGTAAATACAATTAAAATTAAACCAAGTTTTAGAATAATTATCATTATCAATAATTATCGTTTTGATCCGTATATTGGTAATTTCTGACTGGGCCTCGTGCCACTTTATGTTCAACAAACTGGGCCATGAGGCCAAAAAGGTTAAGAATCCCTGCTTTAAAGTAAACAAGTATTTATTTATTATAGAATAAAGGTCTAGGGAGAAACAACGACCTGTTTTAAACCAGTTCTCATCTCCTAAATAAGCCAAAAGCTTGGCTACAATGTCAGGTGTGAGCCACTAGAGGGAGCCATGGCCCCACAGAGACTCTGAACTGACATGATGATGGCTGTTCTGTCACTAATGTTGTTTCCTGGCTGTCAGCTGGATAATCTAGTCTTGATCAATAAAATCAAGGAGCAGCTGATGGCAGAGAAGATCCGGCCGCCACACCTGCCCGCTTCTTCGGCCGCTTCCCAGCAGCCTTTGCTCTCCCCCTCCAGCCAGGCTGAGGGAACTCAAAACGGGATGTCCAAAACGCAGCACATGCCGGCCCTCCACAGTCCCAGCTCCTCTCAGCCCGATATCGCCCTGCACGCCCGCCCTGCATCCAGCTCCGTCACAGGTATCGCCGTCAGATAGACTCAAGTGGTACAAACACCATAAAAGACAGGTATCCTGCACAAAARTAGATTTAAATGCTAATTTTTGGATTTAATTGTCAAAACAGGTCGTATTCTTGGAGATGTAAATTTGAATTTGGATGACAAGGCAGCTATAAAAGCCCGAGGATTGTGGGAAGACTGGCACCTACGTCAGCTCATAGACCATCCCTCCAGAACAAACCACGTYTCAGGTGAGCACACAGTTCTTAGAATTTCTGTTCTGCAAACAGAGAAACAAAGTGGTTGGCCCATTCCAAACGGCAGGGTGTGGGCTTTATTTCTMATCAGTTTCACCACTGTACCTGCTGTGCAGCATTCTCCGCACTGAAAAATTATRACAAAACATGACAGCAGCTCTGAAGGTTTCTTAGTTTGATTGTAATGTTAGCACAATCTTATTATCAAGGTTTGACCAAATTGGCTTCACCTCTGTCATTTCTCATCATCATATGACCTCCATCTAAATTTAAACCCTTCAACAAAATAACACCCTTTTAATTGTATTAATCTCATCATAGGAAGTGTAAATTTGTGGTAAAATAACCTGATTTATTAAAGCAAACTCTCCCTTTTTTATCACCGTTCATACATGTTCAAACGCAAACTGCTGCAGGTCAAACAGCTCTTCCGCTTCTTCTGTCTTTTCCCAAGAAACTGAGCTCACGGTCAGATTGATTTGAAGATAATTCACTCACAGGTCTAGCAACGTATTTTGGGGAAATTTGTGCCAGGTCAAAAAAAAAAAAMAAACTTTGTTGATAAAACACAAGAAGGTGACGTCATGTGGCTGGGATCTTTGATGTCACAACATGTTGTTTGACTTTCTCAACGAATTTCTGTTGAAAACATTTAATTCTCAAATAATCTGCTCGAAGAGTATCTGTAAATAGTAATAAATTATTGTGGTGAAATAAGTTTATGTATTAAATAATAATAAATAATAAGAATATTTGACAGGAAATCATTGTTCTGGTTATGAAAACAGACTGGTGAAAGAAACGTAGACTATAGATGCAACTTGTTTGCTTCCTTTTTTAAAGTAGAAGAAATAAAGATCTATATGTGTAAACATTACTGCATCTGTTGGCCCAACCTGAGCTTTTATTCTGTGTCTTTTGGAATACGGTGTAAAATAAGATGKTTTTATTTAGATCTTTTATAAAATATTCATTCATTATTACCTTTACAAAATAAGAAGTCTTATTTTTTTCCCAGTCTTTTTCTCTTGTTTTCTTTCTCATAGTTTTGTTTTTTATTTAACAAAAAAAAAGTTTTGTGGGCAGAGGAGGAGGGTAAAGGCAGCTGTTTATGTCAAATGAGAGAAAAAAAACTTTCAACAGAGTATGATGTCTCAGGTTTCAGCTTACTAAAACAGTGCAGGTAACATAACTGAGCTTCTCATGCAGCTTCTTGCTGTTTTTTTCCAACTTTGAACTGATCAAACCACCCAAAAAGAAAATGAAATGTCTTCAACTACAGAACAAAYATCAATTTGTCTTGTTAGACAAATTCCCACAGCAGCTGCAATGTGAGCTACTTGATAATGAATTGAAATGAAAGTTTTTTTATTACATGCAAAACAAAAATATTGTTTATAACATGCTTTAAAAAAGGCTTTCAGTGACTCAGTGTGTTTATTCTGCATAGGCAAATTCAATGGAAAAAAAGCTTTTCCATTGCTTCTAAGAAATTTTGAAACAACTTTTCAAACAATGTTGTGCAATCATTTCCTCAAAACTGCTCACCTTGACAAAGCCAGAAAATAATGCAGCACCCTGCAGCTCACTTTGYCACCACTTTCACCACTTCCTCTACTACCACTACCACTACTATAGAGAGAAGTTTTCAACTATTGTTTCTCACTTTTAACTCTAAATAGTTTTTTTTTTTCATTTATGCAACAGTCTGGATGCTGAGATAAACATAAATCTCTTTCTGCATTTAAAAGAAATTTGAAAATCATAATGATGAAGCCATATGGTATTGAATAAGCTGATGTTTTGTTGTGTATTCTTTGTGTATTTGTCTATTTTTGTGTGTATATGGCTGCAGTAGTCTTCTGAGTTGAATAGCTAGTATTCTTTGTATGTGAATAGGAGGCAGGTATAAGTTTACACTTCTTTCTGCTCTTTCTTTTTGTTTTGGTATAATGAACTATTCCTATTTATTATTGAGTGAATGAAATAAATAAATGCAAGGAAAGTAGTTGATCAATCAATGAATCAATCAAAACTTGATTTGTATAACATTTTAAACACCCCAATGCAACCAAAGTGCTGCACAGCAAAATAAAAATACAGTAATATAAAACCATGCAAACAATCCTCACTTCCAAAATAAAACTGTTCTGGCAGACCTCACAGAAAGAGAGAGACCAATCAGTTGTTTATGATTACTTTCTAAAAGTTTTATCAAAATCTGTCGATTAGTTGATAAGATGAATTGCCAATAAYATTCATTTAGTCAATCCAATTCTTAGACATTTAAAAAAAATCACCTTAAAGTTCATTAGTCTTGATGTCTGCTTTGTAACTGTGTGATAARGAAGTTAKGTTGTTTACCAGGAATGTTGGAGACGTTGATGGAAAAAGACAGATTTGCCACCTTAGGTATGAAACAATATTAGACCTCCTGAGAACAACTGTGATTTCAGATAATGGGAAGCCCCCACACATTTGAATTCTAGAAAACKGTAAGTTATGTCATGCAATGAGAAATCCCTGGACCAGGGCTGTCAAACTCATTCACCGGTGGCCACAAGAGCACCCTGAGGGTGGCCCTCATGCATGATGAGATGCATGGTAATATGGTTTATGGTCAATGCTGGCTTTAAAGCAGCTTATTTTGAGATATTAATACAGGGCTGTTGAACAAAATGGCTCAGGGACAGTTACTCAAAGCCAACAGCTCAGGGACACGACAAGTAATATTTAAATTATAAATTTGTTTTTTTACTATATTGAATCATAAATTTAAAGTTTACTATTGATATAAAACCATTTCCATGTGAAATTAAAGCATTTGGCCCGCAGGCCTTGAGTTTGACACATTTGCCCTAAACAAAGAAGCTGTTAGTTCATCTTTGCTGACGTGTATGACTGCACTGTCTGTAGTCATGGACTCAGCAAGTAAAAGAGCTCAGGTGACTTCCTCCTGCTGTGTGTCTGTCGTTCTTTGTATTGAGGTATCTTGATAAATTACGCATCACCGATTCAAGATGGCSTGCTGTGCATTTCTTGAAGAAATGCTAAGCCTGTAATTTAATAAAGCATTTAAAGGAAAGTCCTCCTAAAACAACTTTAAGAAACGGAGATAAACACATTAAGTAATGTTCTTCACTTTYGTGCCCATCAGGTGTGGCGCTGGCATCGAGGACAGGGAACCTCAGCACTTCAGAGATCATAACCCCCACGACACCCACCTCCAGCAGCCACGGCCGGCTCGGTGGAGCTCCCACCCCACACCTGCTCTCGGGGTTAGCCAGTGGCCACGGGGTTGAGCCTGGGAAAAGCAACGGCGGCCTCGTGGGACTCCTCGGCCCCCCTCCGAAGGCGGAACGGGGGCGCAAGAGGATCAAGGCCGAGAACGGCTCGTCCCTTCTGGTTGTGCCCTACCCGATCCTCGCCTCGGGAAATGAGCCGTCCTGCGTCACCATCACCCCAAAACAGGGGAAAACCTACAGGTCGTAATTCAATTCAGTTCTGAGAGTTATTTTAAATAAATACTTTTACTGTGGCATTTTGCAACATTGCATGAGATCAAAGCAATACAAACACATTATGAACCAATAGGTGTGGTTGACAGAGATGGGGACTTATGAGTCGGACTTGAGTCGCACTTAAAGGAACAGTGTGTAGGATTTTGTCAATTCTTTTAGCCGAAATTGAGATAATCACTAATGACAATAATAAAAAACATGTCAAATCATTGCAGACGAAGACCTTGTTTTATTATTTTTACCTTATAAAAAGCTGTTTATATCTCCATGGTTGCAGGTTGCCAGTACAGGCAGCCGCCACCTTGTCTACGCAGGCTCATGAAGGACAAACTGCGGTGGCGGCGTCAAAAACGGTTTGAGTTGTAAAACTATAAATGTAATATTTGTTGTCTGTCATTGTAGCTGGGATAATTTTACTTATTAAAGCTCATAATCTTACCACTTGAAACATCACTAGCTCTGAAGCTGCTGGTAGGCATCGCGGTTGGAATTATCAAAGGTTTTTGACACCTGAGAGACACCGTAGCAACTCCTTTGCGGTTGGAAGCAGGGGGTGGGGGTGGGGGGAGGACCAGGGAGGATGATTCAACCACTAGATGTTGCTGAAAACAACAAATCCTACACACTGTGCCTTTAAATAAATACTTTTATTTTGGCATTTTGCAACATTGCATGAGATCAAAGCAATGCAAACACATTATGAACCAATAGTGTGGTTGACRGTCATGTCTTTAATATCAGCAAACACAGAATGCATGCAGTTTTTGCGAAGGTGACAAGTGACAGAACAAAGTTGAGAAAAGGATGAAGCAAACACAAACACAGCTGTGAACATAAACAAACAGAAAACAAAACCTTTTCATTTGAAAGTCAGACCCAAGGAGATTCACTTCACAAGTTATGATGACTTAAACATTAATGTTTCTCATGTAGTTACTTATTACTCTTAAGCCAACAGATTTACAAAAGCAAATCCTAGGCTAAAAATGAAAACAGAACTATTCAACAAAATGTGCAGCGAYTGGAGAGATCAAACCAGAGATGCGGACTCGTGACTCGGACTTGAGTCGCATGAAGTCCTTACTATTAGAGACTTAGACTTGACTTGGACTTGTGGTTTGAAACTTGCAAACAATGCAAGTCTTTTCATTGCCCGGCTCACGATTCTCACTCCCTCAATACACATCCATGCTCAGCTCCTTTGAGAACAAATACATAAAGTTTTAAGAGCAAAGACTCCTGCTCTCACATTGAAAATATACGCCCTTGATTGAAGTCAGAATAATTCTTCCATACACTCYGCTCCCTCTCACCTGAGAATGGGAGGGGCCAGCGCCGTCCAGYGTTAATGACGTGTACCCTAGGTGACACACACAGCTTCAGCACGACAGCACGTTGCAGTAGGYATCTCTGCTGCCATTCATTATAAGCTTTGCTTACAGAGACTATTCAAMGCCATGACAAGAGACTGGCAAAATGCAAAGTGTGTGGAGTCCAAATCCAAAATTTGTTCTTATAATGACTTGTGCAGCCCTTTTAACTTAAGRYTTCTGGTTYATCATYTTCACTGACATGCTTTTATGCATTTAAAAATATTTTTTCTGGTATTTTATTGTAAAATCAGCAGCAGACTTGTTGGACTTGTTCTTTGTCAATGAAAAGATATAATTACAGTATGCTTTTGTAAGATTACAAGTGCAAAATACAGTTAACAATACTCTCTAAATGCTTGATGTTATTTCAACCTTAACCTTATCTGCAATTTTAAAACMGTATTATGTTTTAATAGTATTATTAAAACATAATACTATGTTTTAACATTTGATTATTGTTACAGAATATTATCTGGTATAATTAGAATACCTTTTATCAAACTGCCAGTTAAGTAATACATGCAACGAGACATGGACTTGAGGTCAAGAGACTTGAGACTTGACTTGGATTTTTGGTCAGAGACTTGAGACTTGACTTGGACTTGCAAAAAAAGACTTGCACACATCTCTGGGTCAAACTTGTTAGAGCTGACCATTAACATGCACTGTTTAGCTTGTGTCCAAGGTTATGTAAAGTCTGCTTTAGTGACACGCTTACCTACATGAGTCATTAGGACTTGATACCGTTATAAATCACTTAACACAAAAAGTTCATGCCTTACAGCAGCTCATTTTTCTTTATTTGCATATTTTAAATATGAAGACAGGCCTTGTAGAAGATTAGTTGTTGGTATTTTTCAATCCATGCTTTGATTGTGTCAAAGATTCAATGAACCTTTAGAAGCCGGATCTATAATCATGCCATTTTCAAACTCAAAATAAAACAGATAATATTTTTATTTTATTTTCTTAAAAGCTGCACTTTGAACAAAGATTTTCTAGAGTTATGAACTACGAAGTTTTACTTTTTCTGCTGTTTTGTTTAACTTCCCTTTTGGAAAATGACGTTCTTAGTTACAGCTGCATACAGAATACCAGTTGTATGACACAGGACAGACAGACACAGATTAAAGAAAGCAGTTAAATTCAATTATGGTTTAATTTCACAAATTAATAAGTTCACACCCTCAAATCATTTTTATATAACTGAAATTGAAATTTTGACATAACTGGTTAAGTAAATCCAACAATCTGTTTTTTTTTTTTTGAGTGTAAAAGTAAAAAAAACCAGAGTTTTGTATAAGAAACCACAGTATAGAAACAGAAAATAGTGAGTTTCTGCCACTTTGTGTTCTTTATCCTCCCATCTGTGTCTCTGTTTTCTCATCACAGGTGTAAAATTTGTCCGCTGACCTTCTTCTCCAAGTCCGACATGCAAATTCACTCCAAATCGCACACGGAGGCRAAGGCCCACAAGTGTCCCCACTGCACCAAGACCTTCCAGAACGGGGCCTACCTGGCCCAGCATCTGCGCATCCACCTGAACATCAAACCGTATCGCTGCTCCTACTGTGAGAGATGCTTTCGCCAGCTGTCCCACGTGCAGCAGCACACCAGGTCCGACCTTCGACCCTGACACAATGCATCTGCGGCAGCAGTTGTTCCACCGTGATGAGCTAAAGCTGATTTGGTTTACTGTAACAACGCCCAATAATTAACCGTTTCACAATGAGAGCTGCTGAGCTAACATAATCTGTTGGCCCAACTCCATATGTGCCAGTGTATTTTAATGAGATGTGTCGAAACTCTGCTTTAAAGCTGTGCAGTAAAATTAGCTCCCTGCTTTTAATCTCGAAAAAACAACAATATTTTGAAATGATTTGACTTAGTAAATCTTACGTCATTATAATCGCATTTATTTCACCGAATTTGCAGGAATCTGCACACAGGGATTTTCACGGCAGGACACAAAAAAGTGATTAGGAGAGGAGACAGTTGAGGAGAAAAAACTGTTCTCGTGTCTGCTGGTTTTTGTTCTGACAGCACAGGACCTTCAGCCAGAGGGCCATTTTTAAAACAGGTGTGTCAGGTATGATATGATCTCCAGTCAGTTTACTGCCCAGCTTCATGATGTGATCACGCTTCTGTTTAGTGTAGACAGTGGAGCTAGGGTCAAACACTGAAATGGAGGTCAAGATGGCCTCGATGGCAACTCTGTAGAAGTGAGCAAGCACCTGAAGGTGTTCCGCCTTTTCAGCACCAGTTCATGTGATATGTGAACCTTCTTATTTATGATTATGAAGCAATTGTTGCTGGGCTGTTCTACAAATCAAAGAAACAAACTGAAGTTTGAGAGTTTTGTGCAGTTAAATGGTTTGTGGCCACAGCTCATCTTGTGTTCATTTACCCTGCAGGGTTTGTTTTCGGTCTTCCTCTCTGACTTGTTTGAGCTGACTCACTTGTCTCCTTGCAGAATCCACACAGGTGAACGGCCATATAGATGTGCCCACCCAGGGTGTGAAAAGGCTTTTACCCAACTGTCTAACCTGCAGGTAAACACAAGCTGTTTTATTTGCTCTCTGCCTCTTTTRATCCCCACCATTGGACTTTGTCTCTGAGAAATACATGGCTGAACAAGTAAACAGGGTGGGGCGTCTCAGATCACCACAGTTAAGGTTGCTTTCCTTAACTAGATCCTTATCAGTAATTATACTGATAAGTTGGWCAAAAAGAGGTTGTAGTTATTTCAGATTTAACTGAACAGCGAAAAAATGGATTTTTCCTGACTAAAACAGAAAAAAAATCAGACAAAAACATGGCAACTTCCATCATAATTATTACACAGTTTGAATTTCTACGTATATATTATTAATTTATTGACAGCCTCCACTGAAGTTGCCATGCTAACGAGCAGCCTCTGCCTAAAGCGGTGCAACGTTCCCATTCAAATTTTCACGTTACCATTTGAAAGTATACTCTAAAGTGGGGTTCTGCCGAAATGATTTGAAGAAATAAAAATGTAGTCATTGTTAGTTTGGAGAAACAATCCATAAAACTGTATTTGTCTTTTTGAAGAGAGGTTTTAGCATTATTGCTAAAAGATTTGTTGAATTTACTTTATCAGTTATGTCAAGTAGTTCCACTCAAATGAGTAGAGTAAATGTAAAAACATTTACATAAGTTAATCTCTTTACATTTGCTCAACTCAGCTGACTCGACAACTTGTAAATTCAACAAATCTTTTTTTCTTTTTGAGAATGTTTTGTGACCAGGTCACAAAACAATTTGATATTTTAAGGGAACAAAGTATTGCATGTATGCATGTAGGTTTTTGCTGACTTTAAAGCTTATAAAGGGATCCCCGATTAGTTGTAACATTAGACTTTATTTGATAAACATTTATTTTAACTGTAAAATAAAGACTGTAAAAATACTGTAGGCTGTTAAGTTTTGTAAATTTTTTTCAGCCTGTAACTGAAAATACGGATGGAGAACAACAGAGCTGCTTCATGGAAGAAGAACCTCAGCTTAGCGTGTTAGCCTTTGCGCAAGCGCTGACACTATATTGCCTTATATGTATTAGCTCGGTGCTAGCATGACAAACTAACAAGCTAAACTGAGGTCCTCCATCTATATTTTCAGTTGCAGCTGAGTCATTTTTGTGTTCCCCTC